AATTTGGAAACTAAAAGTTTTGAAAGTGAAAAAAAAAAAGTCTAATAGTTTTGTTTGAGATTTTTCCAGCTCCAAACTGCTGGCCCCTTGGAGTCAGGGGCGAGGGCCTCAAAAACATGACAATATTGTTTAAGAACTGCCTTTAGAAGATTGTTGATATTCAGTTATTGGTTTTAAGAAAATAAACATGATTGAATGTATTTTTATAAAACACAGAAATCCTCACGGTGCATTAAAGTGCACCTTGAACATCAGATGATTCATTTTCAAACACCAGTCTTATGCAACACTTCCAAATTAACATCACTGACTTTTCTACTGTTTCTTTTCTCATTAATAAGGAACAATACTCAAAACTAATTTAAATGCTAATTTAAACAATGGGAGAATATTGATGAACGCTTTACAAGCAGTAATCTAGTTGAGGGGGGATGAAGGGAGAGGCATCCCCCTTCTTAAAAAAAAATCTTAAAAATCCTCCCCCTAAATGACCATCCCCCCATACCATAACCTGTAACATTTTATCACTGAATGTTTACATTTCTATTATATATTAGCAGTAATTGTAATAATATTGCCTTTTCAACATTTGGCAGGCTGTGCGCTTACGGGTAGCCGGTTTTTGATTAAATAGCGGGGCGGGACCTCAGTGGCACAAATGGCGGCGCAGGTGAGGACGCTTTAAGCAAAAACTAACGCTTCAGGTAAGTCAAAAGTCAGAAGACATGACCTTTTCTAAGCTCACCATTGTGTCACCAAATATGTAGAAGTCCATAATCTCTGGACATAGTGATAGCAAGAAACACTAGGTAAACTAGTTTGAATTGCAAACATTTTTCTGTCTTTAAAGTTGTCATGACACATGAGAATTAGTCTAGAGCGTACAGGCATTGCTGAACATTCACAATCTGTATTTTCATTGTGAATGGAACATTAAATTAATCTGTAAACTGCTGCTGTTTTTCGAGCCAGAATCTAGAACATGCTGGGGAGACAAGTGGAGCGGTGGCTGAGAGCAGTGGAGGAAACCTGGAGGAGAGAATCGAAGGTTTGAAAAATGCATTTTAATTGAGCAATTTAAGATTATTATCTTTAAAGAACTGCCAAATGTGATGTTTATTTCTGGCCAATGGTCATATTCGAATTGAATGTTGACATCTGACTGACTGTTTAAGTTGCAGCTTCTTTCTTTCATGTGTTCATGGTAATTTAAATTCAACGGACGTGATTTAATGGATCCTTCTTGTCCTTTTTTATTGACTGCCTTCTTGTTTATTGTTTATTCATTTTCTCACATCTCTGGTCATGATGTTTGGACAGGAGGTGAAGCCTTCTTTCCTTTGTCCCATCAGCCTAACTTTGTCGTCTTTTTCCTTTTTTGGATCATTTCTAAGAAGAATCACAGCCTGCTGTAATATTTCTCATCATTCGTACCTTTTCTGTTTCCCGGCTGCATTTAATGATAAAGATGTTGGCATAGATATCCTCCACACACATCCAGTCTGACAGGGACAGAGTGGTGTCTGTCCAAACCCAGTCCATCACGGCCCGCAGCTCCACCAGGAACGGCACAAGACGAAACCTAAACCCACAAACAAACCAAGCGGTCATTCAAAGCCAAGGAGAGTCCGACTCAGCGGCTCTTTGTGTTCCTACCCTTGGAAGAGGAACAGGTTGAGGTGGTTGTATTTCTTGGTGAGGACGTTCCCGAGGATGCGGGTCGGGTAACCGCAGCGGATCTGATAGGCAGATAACCCGAAGTAAATACACTTGACGAAGTACCAGAGCTGGGCTACAAAGTTCTGGTTGAACTTCCTGGAACAGACAGAGAAGAGAACACGTTCAGCTCGTTTAGTTCAAAAAATCAGATGGTCCAAATAAGACTTCTGGATCTTCCCGGTTCCACCCGCAGAACAGAAACATAAAGAACCACTGAGATCGAAGTGGTCCAGAAGCACCTCTTTAAAACCAACCAGGAGCAGTTAGGAAATGACACCCATGAGATCAGAACATTTGGACTGCAGTGAAGAAGCTCCCCACGTCAGAACCCCACTGAGATGCTGTGGCCAGTTCATTTGGAGAAGCTGGAGAAACTGAAGACGTCAGACCAGGATCTCCTCCACCAGGACGAGAACCGGTCCAGCCAGCCAGCGCAGGTCCAGGTCCTCATTTCCAGCAGGTTAGTTTGTTAATAAATCTGTCAGATGTTTGACCTGCTCCTCTTTTAATACAGAAACCGACAAACATCTAAAAAAGTAATAAAAACCTTAAAGTCCTGATTCTAAATTTAAGGTTTTTATATATTTTTTTTAGTAGTTAGTTAAAGTTCTGGTTGTGGGGCTGCTTAGTGGGGCAGTGGGTAGCATTGCTGCCTTGCAGCAAGAAGGTTCTGGGTTTGAGTCACAGAGTCTTTCTGCATAGAGTTTGCATGTTCTCCCTGAGCATACGTGGGTTCTCTCCGGGTACTCCGACTGTTAGGTTAATTGGTTTCTCTAGATGCTGCTTAGGTGTGAGTGTGAATGGTTGTTTGTCCTGTTTGTCTCTGTGTTGCCCTGCCATGGACTGGCGGCCTGTCCAGGGTGGACCCCGCCTCTCACCCGTAATCAGCCGGAGGTAAGCGCCAGCAGCCCTCTTGACCCCAGTAGGGATAAAGCGAGATGGAAAATGGAGGGAAAAAATGGAAGCCAACACTGATGCAGACTTGCTATTTAAGGGCTGAATGGTCCACCCACCTAGCCTGGGTGCCATTCAGAACTTAGTCCCACCCACAACGTTTGAAGTCGGGAAGTTCGGTCTGGCATTGCTCCATAGTAGCGCGAGTATGCTAGCACAATATCTGGCGGGCCAATCAAATTGTCAGGGTGGGCTTTATACGATGATGGACAGATGATCAACAGTAACGTAATCAACCACGTGACCAAAGTAGGTTTGGGTGACAACCACA